TGGATGGACTTTCGTTTACGGACATTAAAAAAAATCAAGTCTTTAGCTCTTATTTCTTCTGAGATCGACGCGTTCTTACATACAGACAGACGGACTGACAGACAGACGGACGGGGCTGAATCGATTCAGCTCGTCACTCTGATCAGGAATATATATACTTTTATATCCTAATTTCCCATTTTCAATGGGTTCAGGGTATAAAAACTGAAATGGCTATATTTCTGGCTATTCTTGAATTTAATCTAGCCGTTTCTACCAGGTTTGAAAGCTTAATTTAGCATTTTCTTTCCCGGAAAAGTTGGCAGCACTGATCGGTATACAATTTGGTATATTTTATGCTAAAGCTCTGTTCGACTATTCTGTAATGTTAATGAATAGAATTCTGTTGCATCCAAAACCGATCAACAGGGAAAACAGCCAACCTGGGAAAATATGAACACGATTCGAATTCTCAAAAAAAGGATAGATTTCCAGATAGGGAACCTGTGATACTTTTTCCGGACGAAGCCCTTAAAAACAGGACTGATCTGTCCGGAAAAAAGACAAATCAGCATCAATGGTATATATATATATATATATGTACATACGTGTATTTTTATATGTCACATACGTATAAGCATTTGGGGGTTATTTAAGAAGAAACAAATTGAAACTTATATAACCTTCCCAGTAAAATATCTTATTCATAAAAAACTGAAGACGTATGAAGAAAACAGCATCAGAGCGATTTTGATATCTTTGCTCTAACACGACTTGCGTCGCCTTAACCATCCGCTCCATCGATTCGCTTGATCAGCTAGTAGCTAAAATAAATAACTTAAGAACAGAGCGTCTGACAAAATTACAGTAAGGGCTAGAAAATCCAGGAATCCAACCCAATTCTTAGAATATGCTAGAAGGTGAGCTTTTGTCTGTACGCAGAGAATAAACGATGAATGTGTGCACACCATCGATTTTTGCACAGTCGATAGTTAAAACGATCGATAATATCGATAGTACGATCGAAAATTTAAAAGAATTAAAATATAAAGTCTGCATTTAAAGAAATGTTTCTGACTTCATTTACATTTATAGCTATTATATACAAAAAGAAAAACATAAACAATATTTGAAGCAACTAATAACTAAAATTGAAATTTCCCTAGTGCACACGTAAAAATAGCACCGAGCTACTGCTAGCTTGGGGCCGGTAACCAAAATAGAACAAAAATCGAAATTGTATAAATTTTACATGTAATTTGACGATCCTAGCTCCAAAAAAGGGAATAGCTCTAGATGATTTGCCAATTTTAATGGGATCATGCCTTGCTCTTTGTTGAAAATTGCACTATATACTCGGGTTGACTGCGTTTGGGATGTGAATAGTATTCTGCAATCGGTAACGCCCGACTGTAACGTTCTCACTGGTTATAAGTTATATGCTCTGCTTCGTAGCATAACCGAAAAGATTGTGCAGACACGACCTCGCTCTGAGCGGCTCTCTTTGTTTTGTTTTGAATCAGTTTTGGTAAAGCGCTTTGCATTGACTCATTCGTGTAAAGCTCGCGTAAAGGGCAATACGACTTTCCTCATGCAAAGACTCTCAGCAAAAGAGAGTTCAGTTTGACTGAAAAGCGCAACAGAAATGATCTTTGCCGTCGAGTGCATGTAAATACATACATTCATGCATATATGTACATAAATGTCAAAGGAACGCAACCATCGCGTAAACGATCAGTGCTTGCTGCAAATCGCTACGTTTCGCTGTAATATTGTTCTTGCAATAGCTACAGAAAGCGCGTGATCGGTTGATCATCATCACTTAATAATGTTTGAAAAAATACTGATGAAATTAGAAAAATAAAAATATCTGAAAAAAGCTTTTTCGATTTTCGAAAAAAAAAAAAAATTTAAATTCCCTCTTGCCGCTATTTTCCAATTTTACCTGCAGTCTGACTTTAAAAAAAAGCCAGATCTGACGCGAAAAAAAGCTGAAACGGCAACATTGCCGAGCAGGTCGATCGGCAAAGTTCCGCTATGCGCAATTCTTTTTCTTTGCCTACTTACCCTACTCCCAACAGAGTGAAGAGTATTTCAATATCCGAAAGGCATTTGCTACGCTCACATAAAGCTTGAATCTTTGCAATGTGGGAAAATTTATTGCATTGATATTAATATTAAAATTTAAAGACTTGGACTTTAACATACATACATACATATGTACATATGTATGTACATATATACAAATTGATATCAGATTGGATATCAGCGCTTTGCTGGGCTCAGGATATCTAACTAGTGCGTGGACGTGTGGGCTAGTGGGCGTGGCCTGGCCAGCTGTTGCCTTATCGAGTTAACTTTGCTTGATGCAATTACGTTCTTGCCACGCCCACTTTAATGATGTTATCACTGTTGGTTCTATGATATGATGACGTGTCTCTCTCTCTCTTTGTGTGTGTGTGTGCGTATGCGTGTGTGTTCACACAAGTTTTCTAGGAATTTAAATTTAATAGGCCCGCTTTATGCCCATACATATGTACATATGTATGTACATACATACATACATAGATAATACATATAGAGAGCGGCAACATAAAAACCTACAAAAAATTAAATAAATAAATACAAATTAATTAAAAATATTAAATTCTTTATACATATGTACATATGTATGTATATCCTACATACATAGCTTATAGATTCATATTCCGCCTAGAAGTAGCACATCTTCTTCCTCTGCTTATTTATCTTCATTTACTTGAGCGCAATTTAATTAGATAGGGAACCTACCTCAACCTCGAATGTCTCATAACTTTGTTGTTATTTTTCCTTTTGTTTTGTTTTCCTTTTCTGCTGCTGTTTGCTTAAGCTTTTTTTCCGTTTGCCTCAGAAGTTCAGAGGTTCAGTCAACTATATATGTATGTATGTATTTATTTAGCAATGCAGGGGGAGCGGCAGAAAACAAAAGGAGCTAGAATTACATGCACATGCATGCAGTGTATGTATGTATGTGTGTGAGCGCGCTCGCACCATTCCATATGAATGCGTGTGCATATGTACATATGTATGTATGCGGGTATTCTCTCATACATACATGAGTACACACACATACATACATATGTACATATGTTTATACAACATACGCAAATTGTGATCAGACATCGTCAGTGATGTCATTTAAAAAAAAAATAGCAAAAATATTCATAAACACGGGAAAAATGCTGAAAATTAAAAAAGGGCAGAGAACAGGACAAATATTTGTTAAAAATTTGCAATTTATACATTTGCAGATTCTGCAGTACGCCCTGTTGTTGTCGTCTTCATCTCGGGCTATCCATGACTTGAAATCTGGTTGCCTATAAGCCTCCTTGGGCATTTTATCACTCTTTTCGCATTGAACTGAACATTGAAAATCCAACGATATCGATAATGCATACAAAGCACCTACACAATTAAATTTATCATTGTTATTCTCATTTTGGCTCGGTTCTTAGCCAAATATCGGCACACAATTTAGTATATTAATAGAATTCTGTTGCATCCACAACCGATCAACTGGAAAAACAACCACCAATTGGGAAAATATGAACACGATTCGCATTCAAAAAAAAAAAAAAAAAAAACAGATTTTCGGAGAAGAAGATCATAAAAACAGATCTGTCCGGAAAAAGGACAAATTGGCATCACTGGTGTGCGTATATGTATGAATATATGTACGTACATACATGCACATTTATGAATATACGCACATACATGCATATGTGTGAATATACATACATACATACATATGTATGAATATAAGAACATACATGCATATGTATGAATATACGTACATACTTGCATATGTATGAATATACACATACATACATGCATATGTATATATGTATATGTATGTATATACATATGTACATATGTGTATGCGTAATTTTAAATAAACAATACATCATATTTTGCACCATATTTTTACCTAATTGTCATTTATACTTTTCATTTGTAAACAAACCAGAACTGGTAATGCTCTCACACTCAATCACTCAAAATCTCACTCACTCATTCAAATGCTCACTCACTCACTCACTTGCTTGCTCGCGCACTCGCTCACTCAGTTGTGCGCTCTCACCGGCCGGCAGAAACAGCACAACAAAAATAAATAAACAGAGAATTTAAATTGTGTAGAGACAAAGAAAGCGACAGAGGCCGCCGCAGCAGCAGCAGCAGTTGGCAGAGGCGGAGGAATTAGTTTCACTCAATGTGCGGCATAGGTATCCCACCACAATATTTCAGCAACTACAGACACTCTTATTCCAGACGTCGGATCGGTTGCACGTGTTGCGCGCAGTTGGCTCTTCGTCTTTGTAGGTTTTTGACTGTTTCCCGCTCAACAAAAAAATATATATTATAAAAAGTAATTTAATGAAACAAAATATTAAGAATTATTCTGCAATGATTAGGCAAAGCAATAGACGACAACAACAGCAACAACACAAATAATACAATAAATGTTTACCAAAAATAAGTTGAAAAATTCTATCGGGGACTTACTTAAATCAAATAGAGAGTACCAAAAAGAAGAAAGTGATTCAAACAAATAAAGAAAAAATCAAACGTGTGTTTTTTTTTTAACTGAAATCGCTAAAAATAAGCGAAAAATTCTAGACATTAAATCGCAGCAAGGCAGCAGCAGCCGCCGCAGTCTTCTCGAGCAAAACTTCTGCTGCGTCGAGTAAAAGTGAATGTGAAGTGAAGCCGCGTAGCGCGTCAAATACCGTTACAACTACTAGACAATTGGTTAGCGCCGTCTATTGCGTTCGTGCGTGGTGTGAGTTGTGCGAAAGCTGAAAAGGAAAGCCGAAGGAGAGCAATAAATCCATCAGCGCATCGTAAATGAATTTTAAAGTTCCAAGAGGCGAAATTAAAAGGAATTGCAAATTACTCATAGACGCGCGACTCGACGTACAAGTTTTTCGTGTGATTTTTCTTCTTTTTTTTTTCGTTCCTGCTAGCAGTGAGCTTTGACAATTCACACAGTTACCAATTTATGCGTGTGTTTTGTTCAATCATATTTGGCTTGGCCGATCAAGCATATTGCTGAAAAGAAGAAGCAACAATTAACGAATTGGATTACAATTTTCATTGCATTTACTACTGGACGGACACCCACACATACGTGTAGCGGAGGTAAGCTGAGTGCAATTTCGAATATTAGTGAAACGGAAAGAGAAGAAACGCAGAGGCAGAAAATAAACAAGAGCTGTTAGACTCACGCACACACACATATATATATACATACATACATACATACATACATGCATGCATACACTTTTGTGAGTATGCTGACACTTCTCGTTTTGCCACATCCTTACATTCGCTTTCATGCTGCTGTCAAGTTAGAGAGAGCAACGTGTTACTTTAATTTCTTTTACCGATATCGTTGTTCGAGTGTGGGTAGAGCGAACGGAATTAGCTACTCGGGATAGACAGAGAGGCAAATGCATCAGAATCGTTTGACGAGACTAGCTTTCGGTTTAACTGTCATTTCGTATTTGCGCAAGTGTGTGTACTTATGTTCGAGTGTGTGTTTGTGTGTGTGTATGTCTATGTGTCTGACTGTCTGCGAAGCAAATCAACAGACTTTGCGCGAGTTGCTCAGCAGTTTGAATCGGAAATCAAATAGAATCAAACAATTTATTTATAATTAAGAGCCAGTGCGCACTGCTCTGATAACTTTTTTGAACTGCTGTCGTCGACGTCAGCAGCAGCAGTAGCAGCTGTTGTTGCTGTTGCTTCGAATGAACATCAATTCGATTTTACATCATTTTTACAATGGTCAATTTAGCTGTCAAACTTTTTTTCCCTTTCTTCACTTCTCTTTCACTTTTTACAAGATGGCTGCGTGAGTCGTGTGATACCTACTTTTATGCATTTGCCTTTTCCTAAGGATGTCGCATTGAAAAGCACAGTGAAAACGAACAATAAAAACTAGTTAGGATTAGAAATCCAAAGAATTTAATTTAGATAGACGGAAGTCAGGTAGAAAGTGAAAATGTATGTAATTGAACATATTTTTTAATGAAATTCGTAAACGAAATTAATATCAAATTAATCAAATTATCAAATGCAATTACAATTAAATAAACTATAAAATGTAGGCGAAAAAAAAATAAAAACATTTATAAAGAATATATAAATATATATTTTGCATTTATTCTTTTTTTATGTTTTCTTAAAATAAAATATAAACACAAATACATATGTGAATATGAATATATATTTTTTGGAATATTTGGTATTTAAGTTTTCATTTTATTTTTCAAAACTTGATTAGAAACCGATAAAAATTCTTAAAATAAAAAACTCTACGGGAATTTGCAGGGATACATTTAAGACGGACGCTGAACGGGTTTGCAAAATATTCACAAAAAAAATTCAAAAATATAGATATGTATATATGAATACATTAGTTCACAATGATAAAGAGCATGAAACATAGTTGGTAATAGTATATTAAACTCGTGTAGGAAGTTTATAATTTGAATTGAGATATGAATTTGAAATATACATATTCCAATATTCGTCAAACACTTTGAAATTGAATAAAATGATTTATGGCCTGTTCTTCCCTCTCTTTCTTTCTTTCTCTCTCTCTCTCTCTCTCTCTCTCTTTCGCTTCAAACAGTTTTTGCAGCTGGATACTGTGCTACTGTGCTACTGTTCTAGAATAGAGCAGACACACCCCAAACTCCGGACATAATTTGTGAATAGAAAGGAAAGAGAAGAAAGTGGCCAAAATGACGACCGTGACAAGCGGCATTTGCATTAGCAGCGATTTCGACTACTTGGACATGGAACTCAGCGACCTGATGGAACTCAACATTAACTACAGGCTGCCCAGCATACAGAATGACGTGGAGAGGATCGCCGCCGAGCACTCCCACCTGAACAGCTTTACGCTGTTCGACGACATAGACTTCAAGCCGGAGATTCGCAACGGCGACTGTATGTGGCCCACCTTCGGCAGTTCCGGCACACACGGCGCCAGCGGCAGCGGCAGCGGTGGCAACAACATTTCGGCCGCGTCCAGCTACAGTGAGAGCAGCGCCGTGCCGCCAGCCTTCGTCAGCGGCAGCGCGCTGTGCATCAAGCAGGAGCTGGAGGATGAGGATCAGCTTGAGCAGGCACAGCACCAGGAACTGGACCTAGATCAGCATCACGATCTCGACCAGGACCACGACAATGACAGCAACAGCGAGAACTGCCCCCACAACAGCAACAGCCACAGCAGCAAGAGAATGAGGATGAACAGTTGCAGGTCAACTGGCGGCAGCAGCAAGTCCGCTGCGGCGGCGACAGTAACGCCCACGATTCAGATACCCAGTCGGGCGACACAGCGGGAAGCCACTATCGAGCCGTATATACCGCCTGGTGCCTCGCTGCTGCGCAAGAGCAACACGCAGCACAAGCTGCAGCAACAGCAACAACAACAACAACAGCAACAGCAACAGAAGCTGCTTCAGAAGTCGCAGCAGCAGCGCTACAGCTGTTTGATAACAAGCAGCAACAGCCTGCCGGATGACGAACCCATGCCGGAGGTGTTCAAGCACAACGTGGACCTGCGCGCCTGTGTGATGGGCAGCAACAATATTTCACTGAGGAGCAGCTCCGACGAGAACATCATCGACCACCTGAGCCGGGAGCTGCAGAACACGAGCAAGGAGCGCATCGACCTGCCTTACCGCATCCAGGGCGATCCGCCCATCATCACGGACGTGCTGGAGGTGCTCAACCAGCAGGCGCAGCAGTCGGGCCGCTCGGCAGCAGAGGCAGTGGCGGCGGCTGCGGCAGCTGCCGCAACACTGTCCCCCCCGGCTACAACGACCACCAGCTCGGACTCCGACTCGGACTACGGAGATTGTTCCATGCGCCACATCAGCGATCACAGCTACACGCGCTGCAACGAGGTGGAGGCCAACCTGGACACGCCCTCAGACTCTGGTGAGTGTTGTACGCCCATTTGTTATACCTAGGATAATTATAAAGGCTTAGGGGTCAATAGCCCCTCGATCCATCCCTCTCGCCCTCTCTCAATATCAGTGCATCTTGATGCATTTTCTGATTGACTCGATTCGTTAATATTCCCTCGCTTCGCCTCACCTCGCCCAGAGGCATTCAACTAGTGTGTGCCGCGCTCTGCGTGGGTGGCTGATGACGCGCCCAAAAATCGATCGCCTACGTCAACAGCAAACGTAGTAAACTGTTTGCTGCTGCTGCTGGTAGCACACACGCCCATACGCCCACACGCCCACTCGCTGCGCATCGTTGCCAAGTTTTGGGCAGAGCTTTCATTGATTTTCCTTTCCCAGCGCACTCGAGCTCCCAAATAGCACCCGACCCCACCCCCATTATTTGCACATTTCGCTGGCGCCTTGTAGCCTACGCATAACAGTGAACAACCCCCACCCAATGCCACCTCCGCCCCCGCATCCCCTCTGTTGCCACGCGCGTGGCGTGGCGCGTGGTTTTCATTGCTCATTATGTGTCTCTCTCTGTGTCTGTGTGTGTGTGTGTGTGTGTGGAGGCATGGCGTCATCCTCTCGCACATTTGCGGAGAAGCATCCCCAAACGCCGCCATCTTGCGCAGTTTGTGCTACGCCCAAAAAAAGCTGTTTCTCTCTCATTCTCATCGGTCTGACCGCCCGACCGCCCGTCCGCCCATCCGCCACGGCTCAAGGATGTCTGCGCTCATGCCACATTCTAAAAGCCACGTGGCGTCAGCAGCGCCACACCCTACGCCCTCTCGCTTGCCTTGACTATTTTGGCCATAGTTTTTGGGTTCAATGTCTTCTGGCCATTCGCGCTCTTTGCTTCATACCATTTCTCTTAAACACATCGAGCTACCCTCGCCAATCTATGTACTCCCTACTATTACTACTACTACTACTACTAGTACTACTACTATTACTATTAGTATTGCTATGACTGGCGCAAATACAAATGCAATTTGGCGCGTAAAGCTTTCATTCACAAACTGCACTCGCATGCACACACACACACAGGAAATCTCCCTCCTAGCGTCTTACTTTTGCTCCAACCTTCGCAATTATTTTTTTTTATTATTGTTATCGTTCTTGGTTTTTTTTTCTTATTTATTTTTATTTTTTTTTTTTCTGTCAATAAAATAAAACACGAATACAAAAGCAAAACAAAACATGCATTAAAGCGCAAAGCCAAAGCAACCGTCGCACGTTGCTGTCGGCGTTGGCGTCGTCGTCGATGTAGCGTAACCGGTAAAGTGCACATGTGGGCTCTTCGCTTTCGCTCTCGCTCTCTCACATTCGCACGCTAACTGCTTACGCCGAGTGCACTCACACTCGCAGTCAGTGCCGCGATTGCTGCTGTGCTTGACGCATTGTCTGCCGATGAGCGAGAGATTCAATTGCGGACGCTGCGGCGTTAAAGGAGAGAACATTACACAGTTTTCACAGTGCATTTGCATTGCGTTTGTTGTCGTTCGTGTTTTCTTTTCGAGGGTATTTCGTGTGAGGCTAAATGTTAACGTATATACATATGTTGAATTAGCGTTATTAAAATGGAAAAAAGTAGTTTCAGCTATAATTGATATGACACAATCAATTCTGTTATATATACATACATATGTACATGTATAACAGAAGCATAATCGTGGGTGTTGCCTTGTTACCAAGCGCGCAAAATTCGCTGCTCTCGTCTATTTTCATATACAAATGTAAAAAATCATGTGTACATGTGTGTGTGTGTGTGTGTGTGTGTGTGTGTGTATTTGACTATTAGCGAAAAACGCCCACACAATAAACATTA